AAACATTATGGTGACAAATAGATTGCAAAGGGATGAAGGGAAATCTATCAAATAAAAATTGGTTGGATAACTTTGCAGATAAAACAATGGACCAGCAATAGGAGATGTTTAAATATGAGATGGATAGCATACAGGTCAAATACCTTCTGACTACAAGAACCACAATAACACTATAAAGGTCATTTTAAGTATGATTGTATGACTGTCGAAATCTAGGAATAAAGATTGTATGAAATAATGTTAGCATTTGATATAGCACCATTCATATCGGGAGAATGTCACAAAGTGCTTCATAGGATTTATTATTAAATATAGGACTGTACTTTTTCGGTGAATATGGCAGCTCATTTTCACATAGCGTTGTAAATGATCAATTTTATTTGAGGGATCGCTGGCCAGGATACCTTTTTGACTAGTGTCATGGGATCTTTGATACCCACCTGAATAGGCAGACGGTTTTACATCATCCCAAGAATGGTGTTTCTGACAGTGCAGCAGTTCCCAGCGCTGCACTGGACTGTCAGACTAGACTGAACCCACAACCTCAGAACAGAGAGTACCACAGAAAGTTGATTTGATTCCGAAATTCCATTGCAAAGCATATTACCTTGGTGCCAAGCTATTCGGTAAAGGCTTTTATAAGCACATTAAAAAGTAAAATAGTCAAAGAAAGTGTGGGACTGTTTAGAGCTGCAGGGGGCAATCTAGTAGTTGGGAATGAAATAATGTCAGAGATACCCACTGTCAGGCGAGACTGAACCCATAACCTCACAACCTGGACAACAGAGAATCACTTGTCTTTGTTTTGTTTTTACAGAGGAAGGTGAACATGGAACTGTAGGAGTATCAGAGGAGGATGTCAAACAGTAGCTACTGAAGCTAAATATCACAACCTGACGTTCCATGGTCTAGTGCTTTGGTCCCCATCTCATTGTACTATTGGGCCCCCTACGACTTGTAAATGTTGATAAAAAACGTGGCTCTAAGTTGTATCGTGAGCCAAGACCTGGATAGGTATCTTACAGACAGACAGAATGAAAATGAGTGAAAGGCCTAATCTTGGCTCTGTGCCTCAATGGCTCAATATTATATTGAAGGTCAAGGAGATCATGTGATTTCAGGCTTCTTTCATACTCAATGGATTTCAAGATGTCACCCATGACATGTGGAAGAGAGATGAAAGCTGGATTTACTGCCCTGCTAAGATTACGGGATTTTATTTTGATGTGTAGTTAACTTTGATTTATTTAATTAAACGCATTCAATACAAACAATAGATCCACCTGGTCAAGTGAGTCATTGACCTCTTCCTCCTCCTCACCTCTTTTGACCATCCCTGTGAAGGCATTTTAGGCATCCACACTCTCAGCAAAACACTTTCATAAATTCAATCAATACATAAAAGATAACTTGCATTGTCGAGAGAAGCAAATCACGACTGGCAATGAGATTCATTGACTGTCTTCCCTCTTGAACCCGGCAATAACTAACTGATTAGAGCCATCTAACCTGTACACTGCTCACAACAGCATATCTGCTGCATCCCACCCTGGTGTGAGTTGACTGGAGCTAATTTCTTCATCTGTCAAGTGTGCTCCAGTGGCTGTTCGGGGCACTATTAAAGTAACTCAGCCATGGACTGCGGACCAGAACGAACCTTTTAAACCGTTTTAAACAAATGCATGTGCTGTGGTAGACCGTCCCGCAATGCAAGTGCAGACTGACCAGCGGATAATTTATTGATCAGATCCATTTTCAGCGAGAGAGGTTACAGGAGCACTCAGACATGGGGATCATTCTGGCTTGACCGAAGGCGATTACGGGATCTAATGCATTCCTCCCCCCACCCACCCCCCCCACCCCCATTCCCTCTCCCTCTCCCCCTCCCTCCTTTCCCTCCAATGTTGAGTCCTGTGTATTTCTGTCCCCGAATTCATCCATCGCACGCCATGGGAACAAAGCGGGATCTCTCTCGCAGCCCCGTGTGGAGGTGCAGGAGGTGACTTACTGAGCAGCAACTGAGCAGCTTTCCTCCCATTCATTCCCTTTCCTTTTTAGGTGATGAGGTCTGTGTTGGAGGGATTGGCTGTGTGTGTGTGTGTGTGGGGGGGGGTGGGGGGGGGACTGACGGCTGGACTCCGGCCCCAATTAGCGCCCAATAATTTATTGACATCCCGCTTTCGGATTATGCGTTAACTTTGCAAATATTCCAACCATGGAAACACGAGCACAGCCTCTCAGATATCAGGCACCTTGGAACCGACCCCTCTCACAGGCTGCACAGTCGACCCTGAGAAATAGAGAGGTGGTGTTGCCTCTCAACAGCGGCGCTGACCGTAAATCCGGATCAATCCAATGCACACGCGTGTGTCTGCATTACGCCTTGTTGCCACGGATTGGTATATCATTGCCACATTTTCACTTGCACAATTTAAAAGCATTTGCAGTCCAGCAGCGACTCTGCTGTTGCAGCTGGTGCCAAGTCTGCATCGACTCCGTTGTGTCTCTTAAAGGCTTTGTAATGCTTAGGGTTCGCTGTCCGGAGCGAGAACATCGGGGCATTGAGGTCCCAGAGCAAAGCAATGCGCCCAAGTCATTAGAGACAGCAAGACGTCAAATGAGCAATTCGTTATGTCAATGAAGTGCTGGGAGAGGGGGGGAAGCTTTCTCTTTGCTACTACCTGTCTGGCCGCTTAAATCAGACGTGCAGAGGTTTCATTTGACTTTTCAATGACTGTCCAGGCTGTGTGGGGGTTGGGGGGGGGAGGCAAGGGGTTTGAGAGTCAACACCTTCACTGGACACAAACTTATTTAGCCTCTGTGTCTTGTTGTAACGTTCTGATACTTGGTGGTTTGCAGTTTTAACCCCCCCATCTCTCTCTCTCCCCAACAATAAACGTCTGTGGGTTTTTCTATGTCTCTCACACTGTGGAGCCGTGTTTCTCGCACCGCCTTTATTGTGTGCAACAAACCCCAGGTTAGAAATAGACAGCGCTAAATATTACTTGCTCTTATGTAAGTAGTTGAATAGTTTTACCATGTGCCCAGTGAAAAACAATAAAATCCCCACATCGAACAAGTGAAAGCCAATTTCCCCTGATTTTTCTCAACATGTTAAAATGTTAAGATGGTCAATAGAATCCCCCCAAATTTTTTTAAAAAAGGATTATTCTCTCTTGATTTGTGATTCCTATTAAACAGAGACGTTTCTTAATTATCAGGTTAACAGCTCTTTGAATGCTCGGCTGTAACAGTGCGAAATAATTTGCAAATTGAAATAAAACACGTGGGAACGTTTATATAACCCCTGAAATGTCTTTGACTATAAAGGCAAAATAAGTTGCAATCAGCAATTAAACTGATTCTCAGCTGAATGTATTATTATATAGACACTCAGTAGAATCACAATTTTTGACTTTAGGATATATTAAAATTGATAAGTGCAGGGAAAATATTAGGAAACAAAATATCTTAATATAGTATCTTTAAAGGGGAAAGGGGTTATTTTAAGTTTCCACCGCATTCACTGATATGCTGGAATCGGTCGCTCAAAAAAGGGACATCCAACACATTTCGCCTTTATTTACAGAAGATCCTTCCGTGGGGAATGAGAAAAAGCGACTGCATTCTCCAGTTATAAAATCTCAAAAGGTACAATAGACTCCAAATCTTGTGTTGTGTCGTTCTCTCTCGGTCTGTAATCCCTAACACGTTATGTGTAATAATAATTGGTTGAACCAGGAATTCGCCAACCACACAAACCTACTCTGTGCAAAACCTCCACTGTTGCATTTTGGAAGGTTTCCCTAATTCACTGCCTGGAAATTTGGGTGTAAAATCCCACCGATTTGCAACCAATCCTGCAAAATCCAGCTCCCACCCTGACCTCACTTGTTTTTTCCCCCCAAAACGGCGAAGGTCAGCGAATGCAAGAAAAGAAACAGAAATAAAATCACGCACATTGGTTCTGCACTGTTTTTAGGAGTTCGTTTTTGACAAAACTGCAACAAATTTATACAATCTATTTTTACAGTTTTTTTTTATAAAATAAAATTTAAAACTATTTCTATTTCGCGGATAACCAGACATTTATTCAAGTCGGGCGAGATACAGCGCACTTTCACAGTTACAAATCTTTCTCCAAAAAAAAAACAACTAAAGTAACAGAGAGATACCAACACGCACAGAGAGAGAGAAAGAGAGAGAGGAGGGGAGAGGGCAAAAAAAAAGTTCCAGCAACTGATCTCATCTGTCAAATATGTGCTCGCTTAGCCTGGGATCGCCTTTCCTGCTGTTTCCTCTGCATTGTCCAGTTGTCCCTTGTGAAGGCCATCTATTTCCATTAGTTCTTCCCCTTCTTCAGACCCCGTCCTTCTGAAGCCCCCACTTGTGAGCGTAGATGTACCCCGGCACCTTTACTGTGTGTGTGTGTGTGTGACAGTGAGTGACTGCTGCTTTGCACAGTTGTTGGAAGCAGCTGTGGGCAGTTGCTGGAGCCGGGCACATCAAGGTGGTTGCGAGGAAAGTTTTGCAATCCTCCCATTCGAGTCTGTTTCCAACTCCATTTCTATCGGCTTTTAATGGTCAGAACAGTTTGTGAGACGAGGCGGGTTTGGGGTTGGGTTGGGGGGTTGTGGAGAGGCAGTGCAGTACCTCTCGTAGCTAATCCCCCAAGTCTGTGATGTGCAGCAATCTTAAATATTTTCGGATCTGTATCGAAGCCACGTCGCTTTCTTTCTGTGTGAGTCGCCATCAACATTGAAAACACATTTGCACTGCACTTTAATTGATAATCGTGAGACCATCAAGTCAATCGTGAAGTTTGATTTGTGTTATGAGATGCCTTGGGGTTACTCCGCATTCCCCTGACCACAATCCTGCAACCACTTTCAGTTCCAGACAAGGGTTTTACACAGAGACCCGGGTCTTGCAAAAAAAAATCCCATTTCTGCAAAGTTCAAATAAACGTAGACGCCGCCACAATATGTTCTGTCTCGCGGCCACAATTCTGTCGATTGAGAAGTTTTGGAAGATTTTTTTTCTCTAAAAAAAAATTTAAAGTTTTTGTTTTTTGATTGAAGCACTTTGTTGTGTAAAGAACACTCAGCTTAACAGGGGTCCACCACAGAGAGAGTAACGGCGAGCTGAAACCGAGATCAAAACTTGTTACATACTGTATTATGGAGCAAGAGAAATGTTTCAGGTAGAAAACACAGGGTAGCCAAACGCAGTAGCCGGAGAGTGTTCTAAAACCAGTAAAGATCCTTGTTTTTGTCCTGATGTTGCAGACCTGAGAACGTAAAAAAAAATGCAAAAAAAAAAGAGGAGAGGATGTGTAAGCAGAAGAGAGACAGGGTAAAGAATCGGAGCTCTGCACTGAAAGTTAGAACCGGTAAGAGAAAAAATAAAAGCATAATAATTAAAGGAAAATCAAGAGTAACTGATGCAATAGAGCAACATATTTCGCACAGAGCGGCCACACACACACACACACACATAGGAAATGCACAAATTGAATAAAAATGCAAACAAAAGAATCGATTTCATCGCAGGCAGGGAATTAATTCGTTTCTGGTTTGACTTGTATTTAAGTCTCCTGCAAAACGCGATCAGCAGCACATTGTGTACACAATTCACTCTCGTTAAGTCAGAGTGGGTGCTATCCCACTGCAAATAGTGACAGTCATTTTAAAGCCCACAGTGCTGAAATTCAAACATTTGGGAACATTTTGCGTTCACTGCAAGTAATGTCAGGTCAGATTAAGCGCAATAAAATACACCCATACGATGGCGTTTCGCTGAAATAAAGAAACAAAAAGAAAAGTGCATTCTCAAACACCAGAGACGCACACTCCTGTGTACATTGGATGCTTTTACGTTGACACTTTGCACTTTTAATGCACACTTGCGAAAGAATGAATGAAATTGTGTTTCATTATAATTCATTATCATTATAATTATAATTATAATTGTGCAACATTATATTTTCACTGAACAGTGTCCCCATAACCTTACAACGATCAATCGGAAATGTCAGTGGAACCCACGCTGTACAGTGGCCAACAACACAGCGTAGGCGTAATGCGACTGTCACCAGCAATTGGGAAGATCAGCCACATGTTGAAAATACGTTGTTTCTCTTTAATGCAGAGAATGTCAAATAAACCACCCGCTCACCCAATGATTGTGGCATAACAGAAATCACTCGTAAAACAGTTCAAGAGGATTTCACGCCTGAATGCACGCTGCTGCTGCCCACTCTACACCACCCCTCATCCACAACCACCACACCTCATCCACCCCACCCCCCACCCCCCCACCCCCCCCCCCCCCCCGGCCGGGAAATGTACCTATGATCGAGACATTCCCCAAGAAAATCAAACCGCAAACTAGAACCTTTCTTAAAAGCAATCACGACTGCAAACTTGCAATTATTTGTCAGGTCAATGAATTGGTCTCAGTGGATCAGCAATATAATTGAGACATATACAGTACAAGATCTCAGTCTGCAAATCATCCTTTATCTGTTCAGCGAGTAACAAATCATCTTTTTATCTGTTCAGCGAGTAACATAGAGACCAATCGCTATTGCTCGCTCCACACTGCATCTCCACATGCAGAGCGTCTGCTCATACTTAAATATTCCACACGCTTATCGTTTACCATTTTACACATGCCTGCACTATCTGTCCAGGATGTTAAACATGTATAATTAACATTTCAGCTGCTTTTACAGATGCTTTTCATTTTGATTGAACAAATCTGCCCGCTATGTATCTGCCAAATGCTACGCTACGTTATTTGCAGACTGTCCAGCTCAGAAAACAAAGACTACCTTAGATATTAATTCACGTTTTTCCAGATTTTTTTCGACAACGTTTGTTCTGTAAATTATACCCAGCAGCACGTTATATTACACCGGATTTTGCTGCTGTTGTCTAATAGTATTTACACCTACATTGTACACGTGTGTTAAATTCATAGAGCGGATTGATGTTACATGTTCAGTATTAGAGCTTGATGGAGAATATTGATTGTTTCCAAATTTGTATTGAATATTTTGATAGGAAAACGATGACAAAATGTGTCCGCCAGTGAGCGCTTTGTGTTACATCAACGGTTCCTTTAACGATATATTTGGATTCTGCACCCAACAAATTAACCGCAGTCTTTCATGAAGTTATTTACCTTTGTTCACGGAACACAGTCCTGGATTCAATCAATCAGTCTTAATAACATGCTATCGATTAATGGAATGCTAAAGTTCATCTTTTCAAGGTTTACACACTTTGTCCTTTCCTAATAATCGTTTCTCTGCTATTCAGTACTGAAGCGAGCAGAGAGATTCAATAGCTCCCTGTTTTTATTACCAACAAAAGCGAGACACCTCATTCTATTTCCTGGTATGTGCAATTATTTTCAAACAAAAACCCCAGACATGTCAGTATTACATTTCTCTGGTCCTAACACCATTCTGTTATTCGCCTATAAAAATAGATGGATGTTTGAAAGTATATTCATACTCAAGACATGTTATCATCCATGCAACCCATCCCTCTACCATAACAACGCTTTGTAACGCTTTATTTCGCTGTTATATCTGCATTAAAGGTAATGTTCCAATTCTGTCTTGTTTCAGCTTTGCCTACAGAGGATGCTTCTGCGAGCACGGTGTTAAAGGTATTAGTTAATCGAATGTATTTTTTTAAAAAAATATTTGTAATCCTTGCATTTCTTTGCAATGTATTTTATTAAGGGCATAACACGGATAACCTTCATTTCTTTAAATTAGTTTACTATCCTCACTCTATTCTCATCACTGCATATCTCCTGATGTCTCATGAATGGATAAATTAGGGTTTCACTTGTGGTATTTCTTAAAGTCATTCCTTATTAAGCAATCTGCGTTACACAAATGGGAAATGCTACGATTAACTGGAGGCACATCACACCGATGCCACAGGAACTCCACGCTAACCCAATCTACTTTTGGATGAGACTTCCTGTCGGTCAATTGGATTTTTAATAAGATTCTTATTAACACATTCTACTAAGTTGTATTCCCATGAATTTAAAATAATCGAGTTTGACTTGTTTTCCAAGATCCAATTGATAATAATGCAAATAGTGAAGTTTCCAATAAACCACTGAAAATGATAACACACATACAGCAAAACAAAATTAACCATACTGATGAATACAAAGGTGAATCTAACCACTTGAGTTTTCTCAATCCTTTGATGGGATTGCTGTATTATAGATCGCTTACAAATTACCATTATCCTTCATACAATATGCTGTTGTAAAATAGTATTATTATTCCTTACCAAAACCTTCCCTTCTGATAGTTAATCCAGTAACTAATTTAGCATCATAGTACTGAAGAATATTCTTAGTTTTTCTCATATTATACAGAACTGCATGGAACATGTTCATGGTCATGATATTACAATAGATTAAAAACTCCATTAAAAATAAGGAAATGATAAAAAAAAGGTAAATGTATATTTTGTAAAAATAAACTGCTTTTCCCCTGCAATATGCTTTTAGCTTGACTCCTGCTGTATTGACCCACAAACTACACAGGCACTGCACTTTCATACATACATGTATGAATTCTGTGAAGTGATATACCCAGCATGAAAGGGGCTATATCAAAAGTAAGCAATATTATTATTATATATGAGAAACCCTTCATCTCTATTATTGTGTGAGCTAAGGTCTGGATCCTATTGGTCCTGCATCAAACGAGTTATCATTGCCACAGAGGAGGTTTTCAAATCATGTAACACTTTCCTAGCATCATATTATCCTTGCTTGTCCGCCTCCCCAACTTCTCCCTCCATATCATCCAGAATTCTGCAGGCTGTGTCCCCTCCCACACCAGGCTCCGTAACCCTATCATTCCCATCCTTGCCCGACTCCATTGGTCCTCACCTTCAAAGCCCTCCATAGTCTTCTTCCCCATACCTCTGCGACCTCCTCACCCCCTACCATCCTGCTCGCTCCCTTTGCTCAGGGGACTCCGGGCCTGCTTCACGTCCCCAGCTTTGCTTGCCCCATTCTGCTCCCACCCTCTGGAACTCCATCCCACAGTCCCTCCACTTCATCCCCTCCTTCAAGACCCATCTCAAGACCCTCCTCTTCGACCGTGCTTTCGATCATCCTGCTTCCCCCACTGCCCTCCACTCTCCCCGATCTCAACCCCCAGCTTGGGTCTGAAACTCTGTCTGTCCAGTGCCTTGGGACGTCCTCCCGATGTGAAAGGCACTATACAAATGTAATTTTGTTGTTCTTTATTTGATTCAGTTACTATCACATCCATGATCTTATTCTTAATACATGCAAAGCTTCATACTTACTAATTTAACCTAATACATATAACAACTCATAGATATGTATATATATACAGTAGTCTTTTCATTTATTTGCAAGATATTAAATATTTTCTGATATATTTTTGACCACAATTCATAAAAGTGCTTGGCTCACTTCGTAGTCAGAAGGTTGGGAGTTCATGCACATTCCATGCTCCAAAGCTCCACATTGGTACTTTGAGCTCTTAGTTTAGGCTGACAGCGCCTTGGGATGTCCTCCTGACGTGAAAGGCACTATACAAATGTAATTTTGTTGTAGTTATTGTTGTTGACACACCAGTGCTGGTGAGCACTGCATTGTTGAAGGTGTTGTCCTTCAGTTAAAATTACAGTCTGGTCAGCTTCATCAGGTAGATATTAATGATCTTACGATACTATTTGAAAAGTGAAGGGACTTTCTCATGGTTTCCCAGCCAATAATCAGCTGGACAAGATTAGACATTCACTTCATTACTGTTTGTAGGACATCGCTGTGCACAGGATTGGCTGTTACATTCACCTATACTTTACAGCAACTCACTGTAAGGCATTTGGCGACAATCTGAATTTATAGGCAAAGATCATTTTTATGTTAAATATCAAGATAATTATTACGTTAATTGAATCAGTGTTACAAGAGGCAATGTGTGGGCTGCCTGCATTTCCCTGCCTAAGTGAACAAATGTTGGAGACATTTACCTGCGTCCACATTGAGGTTGAGGGTCTGACTCATGTCGCTGGTGGGTCCTGGGAAGGCCCCAGTGCTCCAGGCAGAGGTGGGGTCACTTTTGGCTAAGTCACACTGGGGCGTGGACATGGTGGGAAGCCGGTGCGGTCTGACTGAGGGCATCAACAGTGAGCTGTAGCGTGGGTCAAAGGGTGTGCCCATTCCATACACATCGTGCATGGCAGGTCGTGTATAGGCAGAGCTCTGTGTGCTTATGGTGCCCCCCAGCGAGTAGTGATGGTGGTGCCAGGGCTCGGGGGGCCCCTGGTGTAGGTGAGTGTGCAAAGATGCACTTGAGTACGGGTCAGCCCCAAAGGGCAGTTCGGTGGGGGTGCCAGCCAGAGCACTGCCCAGACTGCTGCTCAAACTGGCTGACACTGAGGACTGGTATGTGCTGTTCCAGAAAGATGGAGGGAAGCCCCGCTGATTCATTGGAAAGGATGCCTCTGCAAAGAAGGAAGACAGTGTTACATTACAAATAAAACGAATCAGTAGCAATTATAAATATAATGTCATTAATTAAACATTTTTCATTAAAACTAAATTATTTTGCGTTTCACAATCAAATAATGTCCGATTGAAGTATTTGGATAGCAAATAAGGTAAGATAAGGATAAAGCAAGATTCTTCACTCACAAATATACGGTCAATTTACTTTTTACAGTATATTTTGTGAAGCGCTTTGAGACGTCTAGAAGACGTCTATGAAAGCGCTATATCAAATGCAAGAATTATTATTATTATTATTTGATATAGAGTCTTATCACGTTGTTGAGACATCTCAAAGCATTTAACAGAATGAACTGTAAAGTGAATTGACTGTATATTGGAATTCCTTGTGATTATTGCCATTACGCAGCAATACCGAGATTTGAAACACACTTGAAACGAGGACAGCACTTGCAAAGTAATACGATTTTTGGAAATTGATTCCTTTCAAAGCATTGCGAATAAAATAATAGAATGAACAGCAGTCTAATTCTTGAATTGAAAGAACAAAGTATTCCAAAGAAAGAAACCTCGGTCGCTTCAACTAGTTTGATTTAAACCAATAGTTGATGTGGGAAAAATACAAACAGCAAATCACTTACGCCTGTTTTGGATAGCACTAGCTGTATAGTATGCGCACTCTGGACTTTTAGAAACAACCCATATCTGTTTTCAAGTTTTATTCTTTTTTAAAAAAATCACATTTACAGTTAATTAAAGGAATTGGACTAAGAACATTTTGGTTTCAGTAAAATGCAAAACGCCTTTAAAACTGATATTATTGTTATTATTAATAAGACTGATTTCTCTTTAACCCTAAAAAAAATCCTTCATTCCTTTAACACACAGTGAAACCTCAAAGGCACAAAAGACTTTGATTGACCTTTTTCACTTTGCATAACTCTCTGACAAACTGAAATGATCTGTCTGAGCAAGGTAGATTCAAGAGCTGTGTATTATAAGGAAACTGGCTTCTTATATAATGTGCTAGGATTTAGTTTTTAAGGAAAAATAGTTGATCAGAAACGTCAGTGACTGTATAACAAATAACTGCAGGGCAAGGAGGACACACTGGGGAACAAAATCACTTGAAAACAATTGACTGCCGTTTTACATTGGGCGAAAACTGCAACTTGTTTTAATAAAAAAAAACTGGAATCAAAAAAATCGAACCTATAGGCTAAATATTATTATTATTATTATAAATATTGTGCGATGCTACATGAGAATTCACGTTTCTGTCATATCATCAAAACAGTAACCCCGTGTGCTTATTAATATGTAGGTACTCGAAACTAATTCATAGTGTTATTAATTTCAACAACGGATAATAAGAGCTCTTCGTGTTATATCTCAATGAGCGTTCAATGTGCTACAATCGCAGGAAATGTGTTACAAAAAATAACCTAATAAGAGTATTGGAAAGTCGATGAACATATGCCAGAGAAGAGTTAACGGGACCGAAAAATATTATTGTGGAACACTGATCTAATATACAGTCAATTCACTGTACAGTATATTCTGTAAAGCGCTTTGAGGCGTCTCGACGACGTGATAAGGCGCTACATCACATGCAAAAAAATATTATCATTGCAAGTAAATTAGTGTCATTCCCAGTCAAGAATATCGCCTTAATCCTGCTACCAGATATCGGACAAAGTTGGTAATAATTTTCTTGCAGGCGAAATACGTGCTGCAGGGACTTGAGAAACAGCCAAACACTGACACCAGTCGAAATCGATTATTGTTTTAACTGTCAAAACCCTGTACTGTGCTGAGAGACCCTGGACTGGGCTGAGAGACCCTGTACTGTGCTGAGAGACCCTGGACTGGGCTGAGAGACCCTGTACTGTGCTGAGAGACCCTGGACTGGGCTGAGAGACCCTGGACTGGGCTGAGAGACCCTGGACTGGGCTGAGAGACCCTGGACTGGGCTGAGAGACCCTGGACTGGGCTGAGAGACCCTGGACTGGGCTGAGAGACCCTGGACTGGGCTGAGAGACCCTGTACTGGGCTGAGAGAGCCTGTACTGGGCTGAGAGACCATGTACTGGGCTGAGAGACCCTGTACTGGGCTGAGAGACCCTGTACTGTGCTCCAGAAACAGACAGATATCGGTGTGTAATCTGCAAACAGAGAGTGACTGCGTTACTGGTCGGTTTAAGGTTTGCAAAAATGCTGATTTATATTACATGTTTGGAGTCAACCAGCTGCAAAACCTGTTTGCATAACGCTAACACTTTACATCTGTCACGTTGGTTGACATTCGTGGGAAAATGGTTTCAAATGAAGTATCAAGTTCGGCAAAGAGGCGAGAGATCATACAATTATTATTATTATTATAATTATTATCAGCGGGATTGGCTCTTTGAAGATGATATTTTCGGCAATGAATTGTATGATCACAGTAGGATTGCGTCTCCTGCAAAATGTGTGCCTACATGTGCTTTGGACGACTTGTTCTTGGTGTGTGCAGGTTCTGACAAGATATTACTGCAATAGTGCATGTCTGGCCTCAGACCCCACTGGGTATAAATGTAGAGTTGAATGCAGAAGCTTTCCCTTTGACTCACCTCTCCAAGAACTCGTAGTTCCTCTTGAAGATTTGGAGCTGTCGCTGGCAGCAGTGTAACTGCTCGGTTGGCTCAGCGCCCGTGTAAAATGTTCATCAACAACACTGCTAATGTCACCCTGAAAGTAAGTGAAGAGGACGCATCGGGAGCTGATGTATTCCGCTTCAGGTGGACGCTCTTTTTCACCACTTGATTCCTCTTCCTTGATGGTGGAGCCGTGGGCAGCAAATGATCCACTGACGCTTGTGCTCTCGGCGGCTTCTTGCATTTTCGAATAAAAGGCTAATTTCTGCAAAGAGCACGAAATCCCACAGTCATTCCGACTTCCCACATAACCACTTTCAGTGTACGTGGGCACGAAGCGTGTGCAGTGATTGAGTGCAGTGCCGTTTGCCAGTGTGCAGGGAGTCTGCAATCTTACATGTCGATGTAAGACCCTTATACAAATGACACTTTGGATCTTCTAGTAAACGACAGGACTGTTGCCTCCGCTAAACTGTTCATCAAATTCGTTGCAATTGTTTGTGGGCTTCGTGCGTTCAGTTCTACTTTAGAAATCATGCAATCCAATCAATATGCGCAAGTGCTTTTATTTGCAAATAACCACCCGACCGACCCGCGACAGTGAAACTTAAATGTTTCGCATTAGTTTCTGAAATCATAAGGACCTTGTGGAGAGGGCTCGGCTTTTCGATGCACGTAAATTCCAGAGGAGATAGTTGCTCGTCTGCAAATAGGAAAAGCGCCACAAGACTTTGCCACTATTTCAAATATGGAATTACGGCACCACAGTGGGATATTGACTGTCAGAGGTGAAAAGAGAGTGGGAAAAGTCTGCACCGCTGGGGAGAGAGAACTGAAAGTACACTTAGTTCGTTTTACGGCGGCACTTTTATTGGGAAGCTGGAAAGCAGTCCCAACGGTTTAACTCGTGGAACTGACCTTGAATGCCGGACCGAATGCAAACCAAATATTATTTACGTAGAGGCGTGAGGGGCTTCGCTCGCAATCACTTTGCTTTCTCTTACCGTTTCGTCCTATTTGGTGTAAAAACCACTCCAGCCACGATGGCAAGAACAGGCAAATGGCAGCTGCACAGACAACTGGTAATAGACCTACCTGGTGGTGGTAAGGGCTGTAAGCTGCTGCAAAGTAAGGCTGAGGACCATACACTTGGTACATAACATCCAGACAGCTCATGGCGATGGATGGCTTTACCAACGGGGCTGTGGCGAGGTGCAATCCGGACGGTGCTTCACGGGCTATCGTGCATCACATGCCCGAACATCCCTGGTTTTGTTCGACTCGGGGTCCTGCTGCCCCCCACAGCCCTCCCTCCCTCCCTCCCTCTCTCTCTCTCTCTCTCTCTCCCTCCCTCCCTCCCTCCCTCTCTGCCGCTTCGCTCGCTCTGTGCGATCCGACTTCACTGCAACAGAGGCGCCACCGAAACATTTAAAGCGGACGCACCGCGTCCTCCCGTCACCGGACGTCCTCCCAACTCCGCGGCCGCGCCCACTGGGGCTGAGCACAGCCCCATCCCGGCACCGGGTCTGCAGCCGGAGGGAGACACGGAGGGGCACCAACTCTCTGCTCCGTGTCTCTGCTCACCCCCCCCCCCCCCCCCCACCCCCCACCCCCCCCCCCCCACACCCCCACACCCCCCCCCACCCCCACCCCCACCGGCGGTGTTGCTCTTCCAGGCAATGAGACACCGCACCGCTATCACCAGAGAGCGATGGGTTTCGTTTGCAGTTTTTTTTTACCGGGACATCCGGACTCGAATCATCGTTTCGGTGTCAGATTCTGTATTGCAGTCCCTAATCATAACCGATGATAATATTACATAATGTCCTCAGCGGCCGTCGCAGAATTCCTTCTCAGAGATCCCGATGGAATGAGCCAACGGTTCCACTGTTGTCTCTGCCTTTGTGGGTGTTTTCACGTTACCTGTTGGGATATTATTGGCTTCTGCTATTTACTGTAGAATTGGCTTATTTTATGAGACACGAACACATGTCCTCTTCGCCACAGATAGTTAGTTAGTACCATGTGGCCCCCTGTCCTTCATCTAACATTCACTGCCCCCCAACCCCTCCTTCCCTGCAAAACGAACTTGGCTGAACCACTTCACAGTTTGCAGTATAGTCAGTCCCCATGTTGTCCGCTCACAGGTTTAGCACCACCTCATAATCCTGATCCGCATCGACTCACTGGAACCATTACAATTGCATTTCAACGCGTTGATCGCGAAGCGAAGCGTTCGTCATATGTGGAACCGATAATTCCGGGAAATCGCGCACAGGACTGTGGAGTCCTGTAGCTCAGTGGTTAGAGCACTCGCTTTGCAAGCGAGAGACCTGAGTTCAATTAATCCCTCCAAAAACCAAAAAACAATAATAATTTGGTCATTTTCAATCTACGACTGTTCGTGGGACATTGCTGTGCGCAATTGGCTGCCGCGTTCGCCCACAAATATATACAGTCAATTCACTTTACCGTGTGTTCTGTGAAGCGCTTTGGGACGTCCTCCCGACGTGAAAAGCGCTATATCAAATGCAAGGATTATTATTATTAGAGAGGAGCGACCAAAATACCACTAATGTCATGCAGTCCACATGTCCACTAGCAGGGATGTGAATCTCGCCACCCTGGCACAGACCACTACTGTAGAGGGTTTGGAAATTGGAGGTACCAACAGATGCAGCGGATTCAGGAATCCCTGACTAGGAAGTGAAAGGCACTGCCAAACTCAACTGAATATTATTTATTACTGACCTCTGTAATGATGAACACATTCTATACCGTGATTTTTTTAAAAAAAAATCTGCCTTGCAGTACATTTCTGGAAATACTCAAATGAGTTGTAGGATACAAAACGTGGATTTGTTTTTCCAAAGAAGGATCTATAGTTTCTGAACATGGGTACCGAGGTGGCATTTGTGTATGACCATCTCTGTCACCAACGACTTGTAATAACCAGTTAGCTTTCTCCCACACAGGAATTTGGATGCTGGAGTGAGGAAGGATTCAGCCTATCGGGGGGTGTTGGGGCACAACGAGTAGATCTATAAAGCAGCAAAGTTCAGATCTGCCAAAAAGTCACCAAATTAAACAAAACAGTGTTCCAAAGTATATTCTATTTCGATGAAGGTCGCTTTAAAAAATAATAAACACAATTCCACACCTTTAGACGAAATCGCAGCCGATGTCACTTTTCCCAATGATATATGTCAATGCAAGTACTTTCCCAATGTTAGCCGGTCTGCCGGCTCCTCGAGGAATTCCTCAGACACACTGAATCAGAAGCTCCTCAGAAAGCCTTGGGAGTTGAGCTGTCTCAGTTATGTTCTTGTATTGACCGAGACATTCTGTTAAAGCCCATGTCGTTATCTGAACAAGTCATGGCGATCAAAAAGTGTGTCCTAAACTAGGTGATCAAAGGATGAAAGCTCGATACTATCACATTAAGAGTCAAGCCTCCAAAGGCACTGTACACTAGGGTGCCCCATAATCTCTCCTTCATTGCAATATAAAATAAATTACTGCCTCGCAGGATCCCAACTCTCTTCGTTCAATTGTCGGCTCTTAATTCCGTTTCTAATTCAATCAATTATTTTGCTACACCATCAAGATCGTTCTTCCCATTTTAGCCAAACCCAGGTACTAAGCAACATGTGTAATTCTTGAAAACTATTCGTCTGATTACACTTTTTAATATTATTGATAATAATATTGCTTTGGTGACGATGCCATATGCCTGGTACCGTAAGGCGACTTATACAGCAAGGGTTATACTTCAAATGATAAGCAAAACGCAGAAATGAGATTGTCCGCTTTGCTAAAAAAAAACATTTTTTTTGTGTGGTTCCTTGTGAAGTCGTGCAGAATATAAGTGCAGTTTAAACATGCAGAAGTGATTTCAGTCTGAGAGCATCGTAACACTATTTGCACTGCAAAGGGATATTGCACGATTCTGGCTGATGACTAAAGGCAGCCGATTTGCAAAGCAACTCTTTAAATCAAAACAATCCAGGTTAATTTACATATTTGCGAATTTCCATTTCAACTCTTTGCTGAAATACATGATAGATCAAGTTCAACGTGTTATGATCGCTTATCTGAAAACAAGCTTCATTGTAACGCTTCTCTGATTGGTATTTACTAAACATGACAGTCCTGAGGGCAGCCCACAAAGCAGCAAAATGATTGTCTTTTAATCTTTGATGGTTACAGTTGTAGAGAGGAAAAGTCAGGTATAATACATATTTCATTTAAACATTAGGTTATTTGTTATCAGTTATATTGATAGAGCATGATGGATCAAGGTAGAACTTAGTGTGTATTTATGTGTATTTAGGGGGTGGGGAAAAAAAGGAGGAAATGGAATTGGAATACTTAACTCAAGCGGGAGCTAACATTGCATGGTCAAGATTGGCAGAATGGTCTCATTTTTTGCCATTTATATGGCAAATTCACCCACAAAACACATAGTCACTGCACTTTACACTATATCAACTCAAGCACTTTGGGACATTCTCTGGACAGGAAGCGAGGGAAAACAATTGTAAGGATCATCATTATTATCACTATATGATTCTATGGATAAGCTCTTGCAGGTCCAAAGTATCAGCTGCTCATCTTTAGGTTGTTTTGCTTGAGTTAAGCACATACTAAAAATAAATTTGAAACCAACAGGTGGACTGACAATTTAACATTCACAAAAATGCATTAAGATTGTGATAAGTTCAAAAGAATATAAACAAGGACATTTTTTCCAGTTATAGAAGTGTGTTTGGTGTCAGCTTGGCTCAGTTGGCAGCACTCTCATCTTTGGGTCAGAAGGTTGTGGAAACCAGACTCACAAAAATGAATAGAATTGTATGGCAGCGGTAATTAGGATGGATGATTCATATGAAGTCTAAATATCAGCAAGGACGAGGAGGATCCAATGGCCTATTTAGTTTTCTGTGCAGTTTTCTGAAAATGTAATGCATTTTTTAAATGGCAATGGTTAAATTATAGTCATTAATCTATCTATATCACTGTTATGATAGCAACATAGGACAACTTCAATGTAAGAGAATTCTAAATAGTCAAAGAAATACGATCCATCTACCCAACCACCCACCCTGCCACCCATCCATTCATTTCTTGCATTTTATATAATAGTGGCTTATCATGCTGTGGAAACATCTCAAAACACTTAATAGAATTTATTGTACAGTGTTGTGTCTGTGTTTGCCAAGCAATATGCACAACGCAATGTCCCACAAACAGCTATGAAGTGAATGACCATATGTTTCTGGGGACTGTTGGCCAGGACTCCAGAAGAAACTCCCTTCTAAGGAAGGAGAGTATAAATGATTAAATGAAGGCTACCTCCTAAAACATATTATACCCTGGAAGTGCTTTACTTTTTCATGATTTCTTTCTTTAGTAACAGTTAAATGGTTGTAGAAATAAAAGACAAATTACTGCAGATGTTGGAAATCTGGTATAAACACAGAAATCACATGCAGCAAGTCAGGCAGCATCCATGGAGAGAGGACAATGAGTTAACGTTACAGGTCAATAAGCATTGATCTGAAACTTTAACTCATTTTCCTCTCTCCATAGATGTTGCTTGACCTGCTGTGTGTTCCCAGCATCTTCTGTGGTTGTAGAAATATGTTCAGGTCTAGCCATCTGATTTGCAGTACCTCCATTTGGTCTAAGTATATTCATGCATGGCATGTGTGTTGTTGCCCACAATACTTTTGTGTCCGTCAGTATCTATATTAATACGTGCATGAGAGTGTGTGCCAGCAGGAGTCTGTTCTTCCTATGTCATTTGTGAAGTCTTGTAGCTCAGTGGTTAGAGCACTCGCCTTGCAATTGAGAGACCTGGGTTCGATTCCCAGCAGGGCGAAACCTTGGGCAAGTTTCCTTACTCTACACTCCTGATAATAATCTCTCAACAAAAAAAATAACTTGGTCACTTCAGTGCATGACTGTTTTGTGGGACAATGCTGTGCGCAATTGGTTGCCATGTTTCGCCCACAAAATATACAGTCAATTCACTTTACAGACTATTCTGTGAAGCACGTTGAGACATCTAGAAGATGTGAAAAGTGCTATATCAAATGCAAGGATTATTATTATTATTACTTCCTAATCGCAGAATGAAACACTCCGTATAAGTATTACAACTCAGTAACGTATAGATCTTAATGTTTTGTGAAACAACTATTTTGTTTTAATCTGTAAAGAACCATCACGAATAATTAAATACAGTGTGCAAGTATTAAGACGAGTTCCTCTGCTCCTCCAAATACAGCATTACATAAAATAGCATCTGTCT